CCGAAGAAATATTTCTTATTAGACTTCCCTTTGGGATTCATTAAGTTAGCAACTGTTGATGGACATGTACTGACATTCTGGCAAATGTTATTTTTATCTCAAAGCAGCTTAAAATAGTGTATTCCCTATGTGATTATGCACTACAGTGGCTGTAAATCCAAAAGACTATATAAAATTTATCAGTATCAGATTTAACGAACCATTTATTTTTTTGCAAGTTTGAGATTTAAACTAATTTAGCCATTTTGACTACGTGGGCATCTGGCTTGCAAATCGAGTAACATGTTTGAGGACATGCAAACCTATAGAATAAAGAGAAACAAAGTTAATTGAAACAATGGAAAAATTGTGATGGTATTTAGAAAGTAAAGTTTCTTTATTTATTTTTTTACTATGGTATTAGAAATATCACTTTACTAAACAAAGACGTATGTGTGTTTAACATGTATGGTTACAAATATCAAGCATGAGATCTTGAACCTATTCTTTACTTAAAAGTCCCAGTTTAAAATTGTATTTCTTTATACCTTTTCCATATTTTTTTATAAATGGACATCTAGGATTATACTCATATAGAAATAGTAAAAGGGAGTTTAATTGTTGTTTTATGTTAAATCTGTTTTTTTAACAAATGTTAACAAAGGAAAAGAGGTAATAATAATTATAGCAATAATTAGTAATACTAGATTATAAAATGGTAGCTAAAATTGTATTTTCTTTCCTAGCAAAAATAGCAAATTAATATCATTATACACAATGATAGAGGACATGCTCTTGGATATTTGTCAACTCATTCATAAAGAAACAATTTTTTTATTATTTTTTTAAAGAAAATAACATGTGAACCAAAACAAAAAGCCTTTAATTTCCAACCATTTCTAACCATGCTTAGTGCTGATGTCTGTTTTTGCAGTCAAGAATCCCACATAGGACCATTACTAATTTGCAACCTAAAGTAACAAATACAATTTCAAGTATAAACAATATACATATATTAAATAACAATTATAAAATATAATAGTAAAGAAACATGTTTGATTAAATGGCAACTTGTGATTAGTATGACCATAACTATATTAATTGTGAGTGGGATTTCCCATCAATCACAAACACTGTAATCAGTAACATTGCAATGTTCATGATAATCTTAATGACAACCATGACTGTGTTTACTAGACAGGCAACGATAGTCATTGGAATGTCCAGATGCTCAGCAGAAGTGGTCCAGAGATATATATTTTTTTCAAATATTTTTATTGAGTTTTTCAAATATATACATATAATGTAATAACAATAAACATATCGACAATACACATTCATAATACATAATACAGTTTTAACAACAATGAGTCTAAACAGTTACCAAATATACCATGAAAATAAAAAATAAAAATAAAATAAATTTTCAATTTTAAAATAAATAAAATTAAATTAAAATAATTAAAATTGATGGGAAAATAATGAAAAGAAACTAAACAATAAAATAATTTTGTAAAAAATATGTAAAATCATCCTTAAAAGTTATTTTTTTTATTTATTTTATATATTCTATTTACAAAATGACAGAAAGTCTTTGCAATATTAACAGTATATATTTACATAGTTTGGTTAAATGGGTATCATATTACAAAACAGATAATTTAATTGCAAGTAATCAATTTTACTGGTAGAAACATGTTGTCATGGTAGGTATTTTTAAACCTAAGCAGAAGAAAAGACCCACAATTAGATACTCTACTCCACCCTGTAAACCATGAGACATAATTTCCTGCTAAACTGGAACCGAGGACCTCCAAAAATTTCCTCTATATCCATCTTTTGAGGATTGTAACAGAAACAAAAATAAGTTTTCTGACCTATGGAAACCACAAAAATCGGACTAAAAACTAAGCATGACCTCTACCTTGTTACATTCATAAAAGTCCAATATGTCAGACAAAAACACTGACTACAGATGCAACTGGTGATATGATGCTTTAAGATCGAAACAATTTAAAAAATTACAGCCCACAAGGAATCCAAGCACTTAAATCTAATCATTACTGTATCTTGTGCAAACAAATAGAATACACGCTATTAAAAATCTACTGTAGTTTTTTTTATTTACCTCCCTTTTCATTTCTAGCCTTACTGTTTCTGTAAAAGACACAAACTACTGGGGGGCGGGGCTTGACTGCCATGATAAGCAGTCGCATGTAACACGGGCTCCTCAACCAATAACCAAATAAATCATGCTAAAGTATCGTTCCGGCTGTGCCATCTACTCCTAAATCTATCTGACTGTGTCTGGGACATCCGGGCACCGGTGGGTGCGATTTTGCGACTTACCTACAGTGGAGCTCCAATACTGCAACATCGAGGCCTAGCACGGTCTTGTCTGGGAATATAGGCCTCACTCCACAGAGGACCTACACGGGCTGACTGGTGGCTGAGTTCTGCTCCCCCACACCTCACCCAGACACACTCTACCCCAAGCAGCAGTGTGCTAAGCATACCACCTCAAGATGGCGGCGGCCATGGCATTTCCACTGGCGGGCTCCTCAGATGAGGTTGCCGGCGATGCTCTATTCAGGCTAGACACCCTCTTCCGATGCTTCTGGGAAAAGCTACAACATAGGCTTCCCACGTATGCCCCACAAACCCTTCCAGTATGTTTACCCACGAAGCCAACCCTCCACCCTCGAGCCCAAAAGTTGGTCTTGGGACCCCCAATAGTTCATCCACAGTGTCAGACCATGACATCTCCACTCAAGGAGGGCAGCTAACAAGCCCACTCTGAAGCCGAAGAGCCCTGGGTTTACACAGTGGGCAGAAATGAGGAGAGGCCCGGGTAAGAGGATCCACTGCAACTACCACCATCATACCACCAACCACCATCTAGAGCCATCAGCACTAACTGGGGTGAAGCCCCCACTATGGGGACTAGGCAAGTGGTGAGGTCCAGGGACAGGCAAACTGACACAGAGGCAGGTGCCGACACTGACCACAAATGGATCCCCTGTGGAGTTGGATATGGTGCGGGGGGTGATGTCCCTGACTATCACTTGGCATATACCCTGTTCCAAATTATTATGCAAATTCTATTTAAGTGTCACAAAGATTAAATATTTTGTTTTTCAGTTTAACTCATTGATGGCATTGTGTCTCAGGGCTCTTTTGATTACTGAAAACAATCTCGGACACCTGTGATAATTAGATTGCCAGGAGAGCCCAATTTAAGGAAAAACTATTAAAGAAGGGTGTTCCACATTATTAAGCAGAGCACCATTTTCATGCAATATGGGGAAGAAAAAGGATCTCTCTGCTGCCGAAAAGAGTGAAATAGTTCAATGCCTTGGACGAGGTATGAAAACATTAGATATTTCACAAAAACGTAAGCGTGATCATCGCACTATTAAGAGATTTGTAAAATAGAAAGGTGAACAGCGCTAAAAATCTGAAAATGTACATACGTTTTGTAGAAATACTGGCCAGCAGAGTAACTTAAAAAAAGAGAGAAACAAAAATACAAATAATGGTACAGTATGTATGAACGATATAATTCCAGAAGAACAAAGGTGTTATATTCACACTCACACTTTGAGGAGCTATATCAGCTCGGTGTTAAGAGCCTGGACGGAATAATCCCCGTCTATGGATTTCTTGAGGTTCAAGACCGTTGGTGAATTTATAGGTGTAAATATTCGTTACATGAAAAACAAGAGTAAAATACACCACATGGTATAGTACGTAAATATAAAATATTGTGAAAAAAAAAAGTGGATGATCCTACTTACATATACTAGAGCAACGACCTGCTCTAGTTTGGAGAATTTCAGGTGGAATAATCCCCACCTTGGGATATAGTGGACCCAGGTATAGCAGCAAAGCAGTATTGGATAGGAAGGAGGACAAAAGGAATGACTGGATAGTTTAAAAAATATATATACTTTAATACAATAAGTGAAAAGTGAATAATAAACTATAAAACCAGTCCTGTATAAAAGTCCAAAATTCTTCCTCACTTGACGCGTTTCGCCGAAGCTTTCTCAAAAGTGAGAAACTTTTGAGAAAGCTTCGGCGAAACGCGTCAAGTGAGGAAGAATTTTGGACTTTTATACAGGACTGGTTTTATAGTTTATTATTCACTTTTCACTTATTGTATTAAAGTATATATATTTTTTAAACTATCCAGTCATTTCTTTTGTCCTCCTTCCTATCCAATACTGCTTTGCTGCTATACCTGGGTCCACTATATCCCAAGGTGGGGATTATTCCACCTGAAATTCTCCAAACTAGAGCAGGTCGTTGCTCTAGTATATGTAAGTAGGATCATCCACTTTTTTTCACAATATTTTATATTTACGTACTATACCATGTGGTGTATTTTACTCTTGTTTTTCATGTAACGAATATTTACACCTATAAATTCACCAACGGTCTTGAACCTCAAGAAATCCATAGACGGGGATTATTCCGTCCAGGCTCTTAACACTGAGCTGATATAGCTCCTCAAAGTGTGAGTGTGAATATAACACCTTTGTTCTTGTGGAATTATATCGTTCATACATACTGTACCATTATTTGTATTTTTGTTTCTCTTTTTTTTAAGCTACTCTGCTGGCCAGTATTTCTACAAAACGTATGTACATTTTCTGATTTTTAGCGCTGTTCACCTTTCTATTTTATCTGTCCATTTATCACAAGGTAGAGGAACACCTTGTTGGTGAACTGCAGCTCACCCCTGAGAAGAGAGCGCTTATTATTCTTTTGCATTAAGAGATTTGTGGCTGATTCCGAGCACAGACGGGTTCGTGCAGATAAAGGCACGTTGAGGAAGATTTCTGCCAGATCCATGCATTGGATCAAGAGAGCAGCTGCTAAAATACCATTACATAGCAGCAAACAGATATTTGAAGCTGCTGGTGCCTCTGGAGTCCCACGGACATCAAGGTGTAGAGTCCTCCAGAGTCTTGCAACTGTGCATAAACCTTCTATTCAGCCACCACTAACCAATGCTCACAAGCAGAAACGGCTGCATTGGGCAGAAAAATACATGAAGATTAATTTTCAAACAGTCCTGTTCACTGATGAGTGACGTGCAACCCTAGATGGCCCAGATGGATGGCGTAGTGGATGGTTGGTGGACGGCCACCCTGTTCCAACAAGGCTGCGACGTCAGCAAGGCAGTGGTGGAGTCATGTTTTAGGCCGGAATCATAGGAAGAGAGCTGGTCGGCCCCTTCAGGGTCCCCGAAGGTGTAAAGATGACCTCTGCAAAGTATGTGGAGTTTCTGACTGACCACTTTCTTCCCCGGTACATAAGGAAGAACTATGCTTTCCATAATAAAATCATCTTCATGCATGACAATGCACCATCTCATGCTGCAAAGAATACCTCTGCATCAATGGCTGCAATGGGAATAAAAAGGAGAGAAAGTCATGGTGTGGCCTTCATCTTCCCCTGACCTCAATCCTATTGAGAACCTTTTGAGCATCCTCAAGCAAAAGATCTATGAGGGTGGGATGCAGTTTACATCCAAACAGCAGCTCTGTGAGGCTATTCTAACATCTTGCAAACAAATTCAAGCAGAAACTGTCCAAAAACTCACAAGTTCAATGGATGCAAGAAGCTGCTATCAAATAAGGGGTCCTATGTTAAAATGTAACGTGACCTGTTAAAATGTTTAAAAAGTTAAAATGTTGTTATAAGTTTGATTGAAATAGCTTTTGATTTCAGTAAATATGCTGCAAACACAACAAATGACAATTTTCAGTTCTTTACAACCTATAAAGTGTTTTGAAACTTACTGTGCGTAATAATTTGGAACAGTGCATTGTAAGTTTTTTATGTTTTTAAAAAATACTGTTATCATTAGGAGGTTCATTCAATAAAATTTGAATTGTACTCTTAATAGTTGATAACATGAGAATAATGCTGACTGTTATTTACATAAATTATTTAGGTAAATGCGAAAAATATAATTTGCTTAATAATTTGCTTTAAATAGTGGGGTGGTTCACATCTACATATGTCTGCTTAAGATATGGCTACCTATTACTTACCCAGCTTGTTTTCTCTTAGCATGTCCACATGTACAACCTATGTATTCACACATGGTATACTCATTAATCGATATGCCTACTACGATTAGTATTTAGCCTGTAACTCTCTTTTTATGCAACACCTCATGACTACTCATAACTATGGCTTATTACTTTATTATGTGTTATATGTCATATTGGCAACTTGTCTTTGAACCTGCACTGCAACAAAAAAAAAGAATAATAAAAAAAAGAAATACACAAACTGCTAACCATGAAAAACAGATAAATAATTTAAGAATAATTCAAAGCACAACCTCTACAGTTTGATTACCAAATTGGGAAACCTCGTAAGGAGTACTAGATTAGACAGCAAATTGTGCCAACTTGTAATTCCTAAAATGTAATTAAACTGATTTACTTCACGACATTATAAAAGGGTGATTACCTAACTATGAAAGACGGATTAAGATCCCACAGTGCCCTAGGCAAGTTAGTTTGTGACCCCCATTTATTCTTCATATAGAAAAGTGTTTAATTGAGCCAAGCATATTCATGTATCTGTCTAGACTTGTCTTATGGGTGATCCTGCTCTACTAACTATAACAAATGTAGTCACTTTTAGTTCTCAAAATGAGGAGGTGACAGGAATTGCAAATGTTCCAGTATGTATATAGGGAACATTTGGAGCCAAGGCCTTCTATCTTGATCCTCAGCGGCACACTCACATAATTTATATTTCTGAGTATATACTACCACTTAAGCCTTTTTAAGATATTGCTTATTTTCCTTCTATGATGTAAATAGCTTGAAACTCACATATTCTGACCTTTAAAGCATGCTTTTATAGTATTGTTTATTGTTATTTTTTGCTATTTATATCTTTATAACCTTTTAATAATGACTATTGATAGACAAAAAACATAAGTGACTGTTATATGTCATCAGGATTATTTGTCAGAGTCCTCTATCTTGATTTTTGTTTCCTGAAAGACATGATGATGATTTAAGTAGAAGGTCATAGTAGGAGGGTCTACTATGGTCTCAGAAAAATTCCCCATAGATTTGAACAGGAGAAGGGTTTTGCAATATATTTATAGGATATTCTTCAATGTTTTGCAAATTCCATTGAGACAAATGATTGTCACAAGCAATTTCTGTGCCCCATTTTATGCAGAAAACATACAGTAGATGTTGGTTCCTCAGTGTTTTCTTGCTTTAGGCAATATACCAATCACTGACAAATCTTCAAAGAGAATTGCCAAGATGTTGAGTGATCAATCACCATATCATAATACTGAGTGCAAACACTTAAATGCATTCAGTGTGTGGGTTTATGGATGTGTTTCATTTTTCAGTAGTCTTGATTTACAAAGATTTGCATATGTGTTTTGAGTCAAGATTAAGCTTCCGACAGTTAACTATTCAAATATGAAGAGTGAAGATTTCACGTACAGCAAAGTACAGGGTTCTTTACAATTAGAACATTGAAGATGCAGAATACTCTCTACAGATTTCAGACAACTTCTGAGTGCTTACAAAATTCATGGATATAATAGTTTATATGTCAGTTAAAAGATTGTGTATCCAAGAAGACCTGAGATTTGCATTTTGGAGTCAAGAAACATTTTTATTTTAAATTGTTTAACCCCTTAATGATAAAGTTTCA